CCAATCTTTCACTACCTTTAACCAATAAGTCACAACATTTTTTTTGTTGCTTTTCTGGTGAACCTGCCTGTCTCCATAAACATGTTATTGCTTTACCTGGGATTTTCCACAGTAGTGCTTTAAATTTATCTGTATCCATGGAGACAAGCAGGTGACGGCACCAGTTAAGGGTCAGATCATTAAGAAGTTGCCGATACGATACATACCTCGATACATAGGCCACAATACGATACATATCTCAATACAATGAGCTTTCGATTCAATACGATATATTTCAAATCGATTCGATATGGTTCAGTAAAAAATAATGGCTAAATCATGACTGTGATTCTAAAGTCTTTGTTAAACCACTTCTTGTGTTCATGTGAAACACAAACATTTTAATCATCAAAACAGTGAAAATGTCAAATGTGTTGCATAAATGAGTTTCCTTCCTCTAAACAAGCAACAAAACTGTAGCGCTGTAACAAAATAATTGACTAAAATATACCAAAAAATATTCTTGGCAATATATCGATACTGCAGTCCACAAAATTTATATTGTATCATCACATTAAATGATAAGATATATCTATATTTTTAAATTTATGCACACCCCTAGTGGAGATGCATTTTTGAGGAACAAAATTCTTGTTATTAAATGAATTTAAGCTAGACATGCTCAATGCCATGCACAATAGACAAATCAATAACATTTCCATGGAAACCAGCAGGTACCATACCCACCACCAGAAAAGTTACACAGAGCATCTTTAATATGTTCATATTTTTTGGTTGATGTGGTACATTGTTGTATAGTGATACCTTTCTCAGTAAAGTAATCCCATCTAAGACCCATAGTTACGTTCCCCGACCACTTGCACCCTCTAGTTGTATAAACAGAATAAGATGCGTGGACATTGCATTTAGACAAACTTTACTGATCCACAAGGGAAATAATTTGGACGCAGTAGCTCACACATCACAATATAATATAATAACAAAGACCAAAAATATAAAGAATAATAATTAATTCTAAAAAATAAATAGCAAAAATAGCAAGAGACAGCTGTCAAATAAGTCATAATTATATAAAGGTATATATGTACAAATCCATTAGTTATCCACTACTGGCTTTACTCCAGTTTTCCCCCTATATGGACTGATGCTCAGACAGTCTTAATCCTCCTTATGTAACGTCCCTGTATGGGCCCTGTGTGAGGTCTCGCTGTCTGTGTCTGTACTGGTCACACACAGCGTCACACCGCAGTGATTGATTAAGCTCCAGTCAAACGTCTCCCAGTCTGTCCCTCCGTCTCTGACCGCTGCTCTGCTCTCCATCAATCACCCACACCCAGCTGAGGAGGACTGCACCACGAGTGTCCCTCCACCGAGACAGGGCCAGCCAGGAGTCACTGTTCACATGGGACATGGTCGTTACAGGGACATACGAAGGTCAGGACTATAACAACATTAAAGGGGGACTATGGATTTTTTATCATGAAAGAGTGTGAAACTTTTTCTAGAGAAGGATCTACCATGCACCTGCTTGTCTTTCATAGACTATAAATATAAATGGCACCAAATGGGAAGTGAGCATGGGCATGTTTTTGGCTCCATCGATTTGGTTCCAATTCATTTAACATTGAAAAAGTGGTGCCCCTCTCTCTGTTCGACTTGTCAAATGTATTAACCAACTCTACATGATCCTGCAGTTTTTATTTTGCTATTTTGTCCATAAATAAATTCATAACTCCACTCAACAAATTTGGCCGTATAACTTCTGTCCTCGGTGAGCTTCATTTGACTAGAGTTGAACGCTATGGTTGATGTCACACTGTCTTAGTTCACTTCTTTACAGAGTCTGTGTTGTCTTAATCCAGATGTTACTGTTTTGTCTGGAATGCTCCACAATATGGCATTAAACATATATATCTTGGCTCAGGTCTCCAGCTGTTGGCTTCACCTGTGAGACAACAGGGACACAAATAAGTCTAATGCCATACTGTGGAACATTCCAGGCAAAGCAATAACATCACCATCGTGACAAGTAGATGGCGGACATCTTGTCAAAGAGAAATTACAGTTTATGGTGAAGTAAACAGCTTTGACATAAACACATTTGTGAGTCAGTTGTTGATCAATTCCTCATTCTTCTTCTCTGTCTCGGTCTTGAATGGGTGCACTGACCTGTTGACCAGAAGTCTTTTATCTTACAATATATAAACTGTGTTCATCCTTGAGCCTAGTTGTATCCTGGTGTAGCCCTGGTTTACTTCTGGTCCAGTCCAGGTTTTATTGCGTGCGTAAATATGATCTTCTCATCAGACAGGAGGTCATACCACAGAGATTTGTTTGTATTTTTACCCATTCCTCAGTGAAAATAAACCAACCATAAACTGTTTGCTTGTAAATGAAAAGCGGTTTTATCCGTCACAACCCATAATTAACTTCTCTACACTTGTTGTACAAATACAGCTGCTGCCATTTATTTTAATGCCATCACAAATGTGCTTAGCAACCACTTATTTCAAATGTCTTTATTAGGCTTGTAAAAGATCGCATAATATTGTTTGTTTTTAAAGCCAATTTAGTCAGCAATTTGCCATTCATCCGTTCCAAAGAACTTGTGGGAACGTGGCAATAATTCAAAGGTACATTTTGTAACTTTTCTGGTGGAAGGCTTGAGTCTCCATGGAATGTTCCACAGTGTAGCATTAAACTTGTCTATTGACTATTTATTCAATTGCAGGTGTTATTATAAAACACCTTAAAAACATGCATTCTCACTGTTTATCTGTAGATCTGACCTATGACTTGGCCTTGTGGCATCTTCTCCTTGTCTGTGTGGATATATATTTAATGCCACATTGAGGAGCATTCTAGGCAAAGCAACAACATCTCCATGGAGACACAGTAAACGAGTTAGCCAAAACTAAAACACAGTGCTATGTAGGGATAGCCAGGTTGGCGCCACCTAGGTGCCTCCACTCAATTTCATTTCTCTCCAGCAACTAGATCAGGAATTGGAATACACTAGATGGTTCGCAAAAACACTGGAAGTGCGAGTTCGGGCACCAGCCAATCAGCGAAGAGCCATACATTCTGTGTTGGCAACGATTCCTGAGATCAAAGATTTAAAACAGGAACAAAGAGAATGTTTGGTGAATTTTATCAAGGGGAAAGATGTTATTGCCCTTCTTCCTATGAGATTTGGGAAAAGCTTAATATACCAGTTAGCCTCGTTAATGGCGCATTACATACGTCACGACCAAATTGTAGCTATGAAATTTTTAAAAAAGTACCCGCCTACCGTCGATCAAACAAATTCTAACGCTGCAATGGTTTCTACGAAGTGAAACCAGCTGATGAATCAGGGTAGTATAGGGGCGACTGTTTAAAAAAGAAAAAAATATCCATCCATCCATCCATCCATTTTCGTCCGCTTATCCGGGGCCGGGTCGCGGGGGCAGCAGCCTAAGCAGGGACTCCCAGACTTCCTTCACCCCAGACACGTCCTCCAGCTCCTCCGGGGGGACCCCGAGGCATTCCCAGGCCAGCCGAGAGACATAGTCCCTCCAGCGTGTCCTGGGTCTTCCCCGGGGCCTCCTCCCGGTGGGACATGCCCAGAACACCTCCCGAGGGAGGCGCCCAGGAGGCATCCGGAACAGATGCCCGAGCCACCTCAACTGGCTCCTCTCGACGTGGAGGAGCAGCGGCTCTACTCCGAGCTCCTCCCGTGTGACTGAGCTCCTCACCCTATCTCTAAGGGAGCGCCCAGCCACCCTACGGAGGAAACCCATTTCAAGCGCTTGTATCCGCGATCTCGTCCTTTCGGTCACTACCCAGAGCTCATGACCATAGGTGAGAGTAGGAACGAAGACTGACCGGTAAATCGAGAGCTTCGCCTTTCGGCTCAGCTCCACAACGGTCCGATACAGCGACCGCATCACTGCCGAAGCTGCACCGATCGCCTGTCAATCTCCCGTTCCGTCCTTCCCTCACTCGTGAACAAGACCCCGAGATACTTGAACTCCTCCACTTGAGGCAAAGACTCCCCACCCACCCGGAGAGGACAAGCCACCTTTTTCCGGTCGAGAACCATGGCCTCAGACTTAGAAGAGCTGATCTTCATCCCAGCCGCTTCACACTCGGCTGCAAACCGCCCCAGTGCACATTGCAGGTCCTGGTTCGATGAAGCCAACAGGACAACATCATCTGCAAACAGCAGAGATGAGATCCTGTGGTCCCCAAACCGGACCCCCTCCGGCCCCTGACTGCGCCTAGGCGCAGAAAAAAATAAATTTAAAAAATCATATATAACTTCAATTCGTTCTACAAATTAGAGACGGATTTTATGTTTCAAAACTATGACTCAGTCCGACACATCCAGGAGCATAATCTTGCACTTTTGCTTTCCACCCCAGTGCCCAGAATATAAAACCAATATAAATCAGTAATGCTCCTCTTTTTTGACCTTGCAGTATTGTGTGAACACAGCCCATATGTTAGAAGTGTGAGTGCTGCGATCAGGTGAGGATCTGTAACAGTGAATCTGAGTGACGACTCGGGTGTGAAAACTCAAATCTCCTATTCACCCCGAAGGCCTCACGCACTAATTTCCTGACTGACAGCAGACACCAATATGGCCTCCCTCCATGTTATTCACACCTACCCAGACACCTCAGTCGCGGCGCCTGCTAATGCCTTTTCACTATCTATTTCCATTAAAAAGTGTATAGTCAAACCACGTCTTGTCTTCTTTTATTTCAGATCACGAGACAGAGCTGGAGCTATGATTGACGGCAGGGCGAGCTGAGGGCATCGCCAGTCATCCTATCTGCAAATTTCTTCTTCAATGGACTGGTGACTGCTTCGAAATCCTGCAGACAACGGCCATCTGTGGCAAATACAAAACATTAGGAGACCGAATAGCTACAAGGACATGCTACCTTACTTTAGCTAAACTGTTTTAAGTGGATTCCAGTTTGTACAAGTTGAAGTGAGAAGAGGAGAAGACCATGCGTTTTCATTTAGCGTTAGCGTTGCAAGCTCTGTGGAGTGGGGTTTGCCAGGCAGCCATGCAGCACTACCCCACAGCTTGGGGGCACTACGACGTGTGTAAGTCCCAGGTCTACACGGACGAGGGTCTCACCTGGGATTACATGGCCTGTCAACCTGAAGCTGCAGATATGACCCAGTACCTGAAGGTGACGCTGGACCCCCCCAACATCACCTGTGGAGACCCCCCAGAGACCTACTGCGCTCTGGTGAGTACAAAAGCAAACTCAAAGCTGGAATAAATGAGTTTATATGCGTTTTGGAACAGGAATCATATTTTTTGTTAAGAATTGCATCAAGTTGTGGCTAGAGGATGAGTGAATATTTGTTTCTGTGTTATCCTTGGCCAGTCTGCTGAGTTTGATTTCTGTTGCTGTTTGATAAATAATTGATTGTCATAAGTGATTTAATGAAGATCACACTTAGTGAATTCATTTTCATGGTTAATTTTGGCCAGTAGGAAACTACCCACCATATAAATAAAAACTTAACAAAACAAACAAAACAAAGAGCCCTCAACACTAAAGATTATGTAACTTTTCTGATGGACGTTCACCTCCTGCTTGTGTGTGTAGAGATCTCAAATTTGTCTAAAAAATTCCACAGGATGGTTTTAAATTTGTGTATCTTGCATGTATTGCATAGCAGTTTGTCATTGCTCATAAATACCTTGAAAAACAAATATTCTTACTGTGAACTAGGGTTGGGCGCTATCCAAATTTTTATACCATTAAACCTTCTCAGGATTTTACTGGGGTATACGGTATTACCAAAATGTTTTAGTACTACTTTGGTAAGTTACGAATCTGCACCGCTGTATGGTCTATTAATATGACCTGCAGACTTATAATTGCTGAAAAGTTTCATTTGAACCATCTCCAACGTGATACACACACAGAGCAGACTCGCTGTCAGCCGCACATCCTCTGTCGCAGAAAGAACAGTCATATTCCACAGAGTCGCGTCCTTTAGTCCCACAGAAGCTGACATCAGGGATCAGCGCACAAGGAAAGAGCTGTTTTTATCAGCGCTTTATAGTTTATGCAAATGAGCCATGTGGTTTTAAGTTTTGTTTCTGTAAAACATAAACAAATGTGCGCCTGAAGACAAAATGCTGCCAAATCGCAGAAATAGTAGTATTTTTTTTGGGGGGGGGACCAATTTGCTTATGGCCTGACTTGCCATCTTGTCTTGGTCTCTCTTATGAGCGTCACGTGACAACGGAACAAAACTAATCAAACGTCATCTCCCCATGCAGTTAAAAGAAACATTATAGATACTATCAGTTTTAAATCGTGATAGCATTAAATTAAAAATACATGTGCAAAACAAATTTAGGTATCAATACATTATAATATTATATTAGGTCCTTATGTGCTGCACATTTTTTTAATGACAGTAATCAAACTGACATTGTTGCTCCTTTTTGATACCGCAGGATACCGTAATACAGTATTACCGCCCAACCCTGCTGTGAACAGATCTAACCTCTAATTGTGGAACATACCAGGCAAAAAAGAAGGTGGCGTACACTCCACCAGAAAAGTTACACAGTGCACCTTTAATGTATAATCATTTTAAACAATAATACATTCAGTAGTTAATTCATCTATTTTGAAACATCAAACTCCATCAAATAAATGCTACTGAGCCATGTGTTGAGGCTGACTCCAAAATAAGGCGCTTTCATTTTTGTAGTAGAGTAGTAGCTTATCATTTGGTGTTCTCTTGATAAAAGCCATTTTAGCCCCAATTGGCTCTACCTTTTGAATTAATAGCCCGCGGATTTAGAACTCATATCTATTCTTGATTTGAAAATTGCCGAAACCACAATATCCTTTCAAGCTTTCAAACCAGTAAATGAACTATTGTTTCGTGCATTCAGTTGGATCTAAAAGTACAGCTTGGATTTGTAATTGTCTGGCTTTTTGAAAACACGTGTGGCGCTCTTGATGTTGAAAATGAACTCACAATCATGAAAATCTTACATTCCCAGTGGAGCCCAGAGCGAGGCGTATCGGGTCAAGTATTTAATTAGCAAAGCCCCCTCCTCCTTCTCATTTCGGCTCCTTTGACTTTGAGAGGCTCAGTGTGCGGCTTCGACTAAGTGGTGATGGTTCCATTTTGGGGCGTTGCGTGTTTTCAAGTCATCAAAGATTCTCTCTGAACGAAATGTATTCCTCAACAGCTTCAAGAGCCCTTTAGATAAATGAGATGTTTCACTAGAAGTATTTTGGTAGTATTTTTGTGAAGTATAAATAGTATCTGCCGCCAGCACTGAGTCAGCTGAGGGGATGTACTGTAAGGATTGAACAAAATGCATTGCGTGAAAGATCAAGAATGACTAGAAAAGAGGGGGAACGTCAGGGAGAGGGACTCAAAGGACAAAATATTCAAAGTCTGAAGAACTAATATCGGCTCCATCGGGTGGGATAGGCGCGCGGCTTTGTGAATAATTTAACATGTTTTGTAGCTAATGTGTTTTATTCATAGGACACATTATTCAAGGCGACATCTCAGAGGGAAATGCTGACTGCCAGGGTCGGCCCATTCAAGGTTATGAAGGTGAATATTGTGGTTTAAGGGTCAGGGCGGAGCTGTGTGTCTGAGCTCTGCTTGTGGGTTACATTCACATATAATAAGAAAGAAAAGAGAGGAAGCAGAGGCTAGTAAACGCTGGCTTCAGAAGGCTAGTATCATTTTGGTTTTCACTTATTCACTATTGTTTACCGACGTTTTGGGAGTGGTTGATAAAATATGTATTAAAAAAATCACAATTTTCGTGGAGTCAGATCATGATTTTGAATTCATCATGTACATCTAGTATTTTTACATTGTCTTGTAATTGAATGAAGCCCTGATTCTTCAAAGTAAAAATTCTAGCTGACTCTTACAGACAGTGACCAATAGGAAATGAGTTAAAAAGGAACAAGTATCTGTATTTGAGCATTAAACAGATATTTACCTTATTCCAAAATTTGCCATCATCATTTGGTGTTACATTATTTTACATGAGGCTGCCAATCTTAAAAGCAAATAAGTTCTATACTCACCACAAAGCTGTTTTAAACTCTCCCAGAAAATTGGTGCAGTGCTGACTGGTCGGTTCACAAGATTATTGAACATTTCATCATATTTTAGTGGCAGAACATTTATCAAATTCTTGAAATTAATGTGAATCATACTTAACTGGAAGTGCTACTACAAAGAATGAGTCACATTTAGAGGCAAAAGTGGACACAGCAAAATAAGATCAATAGTGAATCATGACCGTAGAGTGTATAAAAGAAGTGGAGTAAGCGAGTGTGATGTCACCCATAGCGTTCAGCGCCGCTCAAATGAGGCTTGTGATGCTCACGGTTAGAGGAGCGAATCTGGAGCCAGGCTATATGTTATGAATGTGTTTTTTTATGATTGAAAAAATAGGGGGAAAAAAAAAATCAGGATCATGTAGAGCGGGTTAATATGAAGATTTTAAGACGAAAATGACGAGGCTTACTACAGCAGTTACAAACAGAGGGGCCTCAAGATCTCAACGTAAGTCAATTGGAGCCAGGGTCAGAAGGAGCCGGAAGAGCCGCATGGTGCACTTCCTATTTGGCACATGGCGGCTAGTGTGGTAGCTATGTCCACTCTTTTATACGGACTATGATCATGACATGAAAATGCATGTCATCACAGGAGAAACATCATGATTCGACTTTTATGCAAATGTTATTCAAATTTCTGTTGTGGAATAAATGTATTGATGTGTTCGAATTACACTACTTATATGGTTGACAAAGTTCCCACTATTGTCGACAACTAATAAAAGACAATTTTTTTTTTTCCTTTTTAGCATAGATGGAGTCCTGTAAATCTTTGATAAGTTGAAGCAATTACTTTTGCTCTTGGCATGCGGTAAAATTATACAAAATAAATTTATAATAAGAGTTGGATAAAAAAATCAATGCGTAACAAATTTGCTATTCAGTCCTTGTCATTTAGGGCTGTCAGTAACCAAAATAGCATCAGACATCGCATTATTTTTGATTTGAAACATGAGCCTCCAGATGAAATTTCCCATATATTCAAACCCCTACTGGTACTACAGCCACTATTCCCTCACTGCGTAGATATGACTCAGTATACTGCACTAATAACAGGCTCCATGTTTGTTGTCTTGGTCTCTTGTCTGCGGTTCCCCTTTAACCCCTGATTGATCTGCTGGCCTCACAGCGGCTGCTCTGTTTCCTCGTGGATAAATTGGAGCATGTTTTCTGGGCAGCAGTGATCCGTGTCCGATGGGAGCTGCTCCGGTTGGACATGCACGTCTGAAACCTACTTATTATGATTTTGTTATCATCATTGTCAAGCCTGTTTCATTTTGGCAATTGCTATGCTGCGTTCAAGCACTTGTATTAAAGGTGCAACTTTTCTGGAAGAGGGTCCGCCACCCGCTTGACTTCATGTTGTTTATTCCTGAAAGGTTCTGCAGTATGTCATTTACTTCAACTCCATGGGGATAGTTGAAGTAAATGACAGGCCACATCACCAGGTCAAGTTACAGGTCAGATCTGTGAAGTGGACCCACTCACAGAAATGATGTGGTAGTTTTGAAAAATAAAAACGCCTGTCATTGAACAAATAGAAGATATATAAAGGCAAAGCAATAAACATCACAGCAGATGGTGGACCCTTCACCAAAAACGTTATGCAAAGCACCTTAACTTGTTGTCAATACTTACTTAAACCTAAGTTAGTGCAAACGGTATGAAATAATAAAACCATTATCTCTTTCTTAGCATTGAATAGCCCAATATGAGTCAAGCTGACAGAAAGGAGCTATGTTACCTTTAAAGATGCACTGCACAACTTTTTTGGTGGAGGGTCCCCCACCTGCTTGTCTCCATGGAGATGTTATTGCCTAACACTAAACATATCCATAGTATTTATTCATTACAGGTGTTTCTGTATAGCCTGATTCATGAGCCGGTTTCACTTCGTGGAAACCATCTGACCTCGCAGCATGAGGATTCGTTCGCTCGATGGTAGACAGGTACTTTTTTAATTTAACCAGTTGCTGCTATTTGGTCATGATGTATATAATGCGCCTCTAACGGGGCTAACTGGTATATTAAGGTTTTCCCAAATCCCGTAGGAAGAAGGGCAATAACATCTTTCCCCTTGATAAAACTCACTAAACATTCTCCTTGTTCCGGCTTTAAAT